CTGTCATCTACTTCTATAGTATTTATCATGCTATTTTATCTGTTCTTTGTTGTAACCTTTTGTTTTTTGATTTGTAAGCAACTGAATTTTCTATTTTCATTCTTTTTCTAGTGGTTGGACATTCAGCATTCTTACTGTTTTACTAGAAGTTGTCTTTAAATTTTTAGCAAACATGCTGGTATATTCTCTTACCAATTTCAAAAATTATTATCTGTAAGTTTTCCTTGCTAAAAAATATCAAGACATTTAGCATAATCTATTACTTACTTTCTACTTCCACTCATCCTCACTTCCCAAACTGATGGGAATCACCTGGGATTTTAACTTCAGAGCGCTATTTTTTCTTTTCTTTGAAGTACGCCTTTTTGAATTTCAAATTGCTTTACGTTACACACCCACATTATCATCTTAAAAATGATTACTAAAATAAGTGATCTGTGACAATTCTGACTCAGAAAAAGGAGAGAGAATACAAGTAAACATCGGAGGAAAGGAAAGGAATATGAACACAGATACATAATTATAAAAGAGTACTGTGAACTACTTTTAGCTAATAAATTTGGAAATCTAGATGAAATGGACAATTATGTGGGAAACCACATTTTCAACAAAAAAATAATTATGAAAATTGATAGAAAACCTAAGTAGATAGAAAACCCATTAATGATCACAGAAGAGATGACTGATTTCTTTGTTCAAGAGTTTTGACCAGTCTTCAATTCATGTTACTCCCAAGTTACGTAAGTTGTTGCAGAGCGAGAAGAAAATGAAAATCTTTTCATTCATTTAATGAGGCTAAAATAAATTGATTTCAAGACTAGCCAGTCTAAGTACACACACACACACACACACACACGCACACACACACATACACACAGAAAACTATACTCTATCTCATTAATCTATGTACAAAAATTTAAACAAAATATTAGCAAATTTAATCCAGTGGTGTATTTAAACAAATGTAAACAAATGAGAGTCTATAGCAAGAATATAAGAATGGTTCAAAGTGAGGCATTCAATTAATGTATTCCAGTGTGTCATCTATAAATGAAAACAAATAGATCAGTCAGTAATAGTGAAAAGTTATATTTTAAAAATCATCATTCCTTCCTTATATCTGGAATCTTAGAATAAAATAAAGCTACCTTAACTTTATTTTTTAAAAAATATTTTATTTACTTATTTGAGAGAGAAAGATAACATGAACAGTGGGGAAGGGCAGAGGGAGAAGCAGGCTCCCTGGTGAGCAAGGAGCCTGACACAGGATTTGATCCCAGGACCTAGGATCCATGACCTGAGCTGAAGGCAGACACTTAACTGACTGAGCCACCCAGGCACCCCCTACCTTAACTTTATTTCACAGTCATCAATCAGGAACAAAACAAGGGTGCCTGCTTTTACTGCAATGACTCAGTTGTGTCTGAAGTTCTTGCGACCATTAAGCATTGAGGTATCAGTATTGAAAAGGAAGTCAGAATTGTTACAAGAATAATATGATATTTCACCTAAATAACCCAAGAGAACCAATGGGAAAGACACTAGAACTAGTGTTTATTAATGTGATCATGTGAAATATAAATATTTTTAAAAGGCAATAGTTCCTATAAGCTACGTGGAAAATAAAAAGAAAAAAATCTTACTTAGATGGTACAAAAACAAACAAAGAAATGACTAGGAATAATTACAAGAATAGAGACCTATGTGAAAACGGGTAAATCTTTACCAAAGGTAGAAGAGCTAATAAGTGACAGCAAGGGAAGCTTACAGATAATAGTTTTTGAAATTGGTAGGAAAATATGCCAGCATGTTTGCTAAAAATTTAAAGACAAATTATAGTAAAACATTAAGAATGCTGAATGTCCAACCACTAGAAAAAGAATGAAAATAGAAAATTGGGTTGCTTGCAAATCATGAAACAGAAGGTTACACAAATAACAGAGAAAAAAGCATGATAAATAGACAAAATAGAAATTTATCTATTAAATGATGTCTTCATAAAAATCTTTCATTCTTTTTGGTGTATTTGGGGATTGCAGTGGTGGAGAGTGAGACTTGATTTTGAAGTTCACCTGAATATCCATATGGTACACAAGAACAGGTGAGCAGTCAATGATACTGACTAGAGAAGTGGTTAGCATCCTTGGTTATACAATTAAAATAACACTGAAAGTTAAAATAATATTACCCATGCCCAGCCCCATTCTTGAGATTTCTACTTTAATTGACATCATATGGGTTCAGGTTTTGCTATATTTTAAAAGCTTCCAAAGGTAATTTTAATTTGTTGCCAAGGTTGGGGTTACTGAACTATAAAGACCAAGAAATGCCTTATGTACTCGTAATCAGTAGGAAAAGTTATTAGGACAATGACCTTAGGGACAGATATCAAGCTAGATCCCTTATTAACACTAAACAGAAATAAATTCCAGACAGATCAGAAGTATGATACAAAAAATAAAACAGAAAAAGCTATTTTTGTTAAATAATTGCATTTTAATTACATGTATTTCAAATGAATAACTTGCTTTCCAAAGACTTGCCCTGTATTCAGCAATATATATTCAGAACCTTAAAAAAAATGTTTATACCTGTTGAACAAAAATTCTACTTCTGGGGGCAGCCCTGGTGGCCCAGCGGTATAGTGCTGCCTTCAACCAAGGTGTGATATTGGAGACCCAGGATTGAGTCCCATGTCAGGCTCCCTGCATGGAGCCTGCTTCTCCCTCTGCCTGTGTCTCTGCCTCGCTTTTTCTCTCCTCTGTGTCTGTCATGAATAAATAATAAAATCTTTAAAAAAAAATTCTACTTCTGGGAAGAAATCTAAGCTGTCCACAAAGACTTATATTTGGACTCGGAGATCATGACCTGAGCCGAAATCAAGAGTCAGCTGCCCCATGTTAAAGTTTGATGCAGAACTTCTTGAACAGGAATCATGTAGGGCTTATGGAAAATACAGATTGCTAAGTCCCGCTAGTAATACACTCAGAATCAACCCAAGTGGCCTTTTAAGTACTCTGAAGTTTGAGATCTTCTAATGCCTACAATGAATTTTTATAACCAGTAAAAATTATAGTTAGTACTTCCCCAATAAAGATGTACAGGAAGGGAAGATGCCCAAATGCTAGCAGTGTGTTGTTGGGATTTTTAAAATACTTTTATTTTGTAAATTTGATACGGTGAGCATTTATTACTTCTATAATTAATAAATAATTTTTATATTAAAAAGATTTTACTTTAAGAGTACCGTTAGAGTCATCTGTTCGGGTACAGGGGTCTTTCATGACTGTAAAAATTTATCATGGGTTAAATCTTATTTTTATTTGCACTCTATGTCAGAGTAGCAGTTACTAGTTAAGCTGTACCAGTTTTGAGGTAAATGTGCTGCCAACCACAAGCATGTGAGGCTGGGTCTCATCACTGAAGGGAGCCATTCAAATGAATTTCTCAGAGAATCCATATCAAAATGACTTTGCTAGAGTTCCTGCATAACTATACAGAAAGTATAATAACTTTGTCTTAGTTAAGTAGAATATATTTGATGTGAGAAATCTGGTCCAAATTGTCATTTTTAATGAGTCAGTTTCTTCTGATTTTTTTTTTTGTAAATATTTTATTTATTTATTCATGGAGACACAGATAGAGGCAGAGACACAGGCAGAGGGAGAAGCAGACTCCCTGCAAGGAGCCTGATGGGGAAATCAATCCTAGACCTTGGGATCACCCCCTGAGCCAAAGGCAGATGCTCAACCGCTGAACCAGCCAGGCGTCCCAGTTTCTTTTGATTTAAAACTTGTCTTCTACCTGTTTTTCTCTTGGGCTGTTAGGATTTTTCTTTTAATTAATAAATTTTGAAAATTCTTTCTATTTTGTATGATAGTTGCCTCTACTGGATGTATTCACCAACAAATATGTATATAAGTATGTATTACAAATATATGCATCAATCTTAATTTATCTTTTACCTTTTTCTGGGTGATTTTTAGTAATGTAGCATTCTTAATTTTTATTGAATTGATTAGTCCTTTAATTTAAAGTATATCATCTATGTCTTGTTTAATAATTCTTTCCCTAACTTGAAGTTGTAAGGATAATTTCCCTATGATTCAGAATTTAAAACCTCACCTTTCATAATTTTTCCATTAAGTTATCAGGAATTGAATTTTGAATATGGCATTAGTTTGAAATATTTCATTAAAAAAGCTTTTGTTTGGATATTTAAAAAGAAATACTGTGTGATTAAAAACAAACAACAACAACAAAATAACATACCAAAATAAGTCTTCCTTCTATTTGTGATTCCCAGTTTTGTCCTTCTCTCTTAAAAATTAGACTTTTTGATTTCCTTTTTTTTTTAGACTTTAATTTCTAAAGTAGGCTTTAAAATTTTTAGCTCCATAGGTTATTATTGAACCTCATAATCTTCTTGGCAGTTTTAACCAACTTTAAAAGAATGTTAGGCTTTTTTTTTTTAATTTTATTTATTTATGATAGGCACACAGTGAGAGAGAGAGAGAGAGAGGCAGAGACACAGGCAGAGGGAGAAGCAGGCTCCATGCACCAGGAGCCCGACGTGGGATTCGATCCCGGGTCTCCAGGATCGCGCCCTGGGCCAAAGGCAGGCGCCAAACAGCTGCGCCACCCAGGGATCCCGAATGTTATGCTCTTTAAGGAAATTTTGAGATTATTTTTTTTTTTGTCTTGCATAAACTAGAATTTAAGACTGTCATGAATTTCTCACATGCCATTAAATGTGATTTTCTCAGCAAAAGCTAAATAGGAAGCAACTGATGCAATAAGTAAGCTCTAGGGTAGGAAAATAGAGAAGGTATAATTTTTAAGCTTTTTTTTTTTGACAGAGTCATGAAATAAGTATTTTTTAGCACACATAGATGCTAATTTTAATATTTAAGAGTTAATTGAATGAGACTCTATCTTGTGATGTATTCAAATGTACGATTGTCTGGTTCTCCATATCCTCAAGAATGCTGTGTTCCCAGGGGCCCTGCCAGAGCAAGAACCATGGCTTATTTTGGGGAAGGAAAAGGACCCATCCATGTGGATAATGTGAAGTGCACAGGAAATGAGAGGTCCCTGGATGACTGTATTAAACAAGATATTGGAAGACATAACTGCCGCCACAGCGAAGATGCAGGAGTCATTTGTGATTATTTTAGCAAGAAGGCAACAGGCAACAGTAATAAAGGTAAGTCATTTTTGGGGGGCCTGTACTAGTCAAAGAGTATTTTTCACATCATTAATATAAGCAGTACTTTGATAACAAAAATCGCCCTCTCTATGACTATATGTAATCTGAGTTTGTATATAGAGGCAGTGGTTTTTGACAAACTTGACTGGATGAAGTTTACATGGGGAGCAGAATTCAGGGGCAGGAGTGGATTTACAGGATTTGGCGTTACGCCCTTTTGACATTCTCAGCAGTTTCTGTACCATTCTTTCTCTGGATGTAATAAACCTGTCAAACTTATTGGTATCCTTGAAGATTTAGAATTGATATTTACTTCATAATAAGAAGAAAAGAATTTTTCTTTCTTTCTTTTTTTTTCTTTTAGAGAGGGAGAGTGGGAGGAGGGTCGGGAGAGGCAGAGGTAGAGAGAGAGAGAGAGAGAGAATCTCAAGGAGGCTACATGCTCAGTGTGGAGCCCAATGTGAGGCTTGATCCTAGCATCCTGAGATTATGACCTGAACAGAAATCAAGAGTAGGACGCTTATCTGAAGGACCACCCAAACACATCCCCCAAGAAATGAAAATTTAAAGATGAATCATAGAAAGGAACTTCTTCCACTCTTACTAATATTTTAAACAACCAGGATGATTTTAAAAGTAATTGCAAAAAGAAAATTATCTTGGGATGCCTGGTGGCTCAGGAGTTGAGCATCTGCCTTTGGCTCAGGGTGTCATCCCGGAGTCCCTGGATCGAGTCCTGCATCGGGCTCTTTGCATGGAGCCTGCTTCTCTTCCTTCTTCCTATATCTCTGCCTCTCTTTCTATGTCTCCCATGAATAAATAAATAAAATCTTAAAAAAAAAAAAGAAAATTATCTTCTGTAGATTTTATTCTCTGAAATTTAAAGACATTAAGGAAAATGAGAAATAATCTTTCGGGGCAGCCCAGGTGGCTCAGCGGTTTGGTGCCACCTTCAGCCCAGGGCCTGATCCTGGAGACCCGGGATTGAGTCCCACGTTGGGCTCCCTGCATGGAGCCTGCTTCTCCCTCTGCCTGTGTCTCTGCCCCTCTCTCTCTCTCGCTCTCTCTGAGCTACCCTCTCATGAATAAATAATTAAAATCTTATAAAAAAAGAGAAATAATCTTTTAGTATAATACAGTAAACTGACATTTTATCCTTAAATAGAAAAATCTTTGAAAGCTGAGTGTAACTTTTCTGAAACAAATAATGCTTTAAATAAAAAAGTAGCTATTTTGTAGAAAACTATGGGTACATTTTATGAAAAAATCATCTCTTTATGTGTGTTGAAAGTTCACAGTTTTGAAGTACTGGATTTTCTAAAATTTAGGCATTTCTATATTTGAGCATTCTCATTTTCTGACATCTCTTAATTGCTTAAAGATAATGTTGTTAATATGATTCTTCATTGTCTGAGGACCTTCTGAGTGTAAAGAGTACAACATTTTTTGCTTTGTTTTATATATGTATAGACACACATATATAATTGGCTCACCAACTCATATTACATAATTAATATTATTAAATAGCATACTTATATAAAAGTATTGATTATAACTTAACTTATTAAATTCCCTTCAGTAATTTAAACTATAGTTACAAATTGAATATAACTAATTCTTTGGATTATGTCATTTCTTAAGCAGCAGAAAACATAAAAATTCAATAATTGTAAAATGTTTTTACTATATTCCTATGTAAACCTACTTTAAATTATTAAATACCATATTTATTTCTTCATTATTTATACATTTGTTTTTATAAATTCCTAGAGTGGTAGCAACACTTATTTTTATACCTTTCAATGGTTCCAATGCTACGATACCTCAAATAAGATTTCGTCTTAGACCAGCTGGATTACTGAATCTGGCTTATTAAACTATTGATTTTGTGTTGAGGCTCAAGACCTAGTGACTTCTTTTTCTTTTTCTTTTTCTTTTTCTTTTCTTTTTTTTTTTTTAAGTCTTTAGACGTGGTACTGAATGCAGAGCTTGATGCAGGGCTTTATCTCATAACTCTGAGATGATGATCTGAGCCAAGATCAAGAGTTGGCTGCTTAAATAACTGAGCCACCCAGGCATCTCCCTAGTGATTCCTCTAAGGGGACTCAAACTCAAGCCATTGGTTATTGGTCATCTGATGGGATCCTTTAGTAAATGAACTTCATTTCACTTTTTTTTTTTTTTTGGTAACAGTAAAAATTTGTTTACAGCTTTAAATAGATTTTACATTTTTGCAATCTTGTGCTTTGCCCCAGAATGATGTAAACTTTCAGTTTTGCTTGCTCAGTATTAATTACATCATTCTTTATTTTGGTGTTATATACATTGACCTGACTTGGAGCATAATTTGAAACTGATGTTTTTCTAATATCTTATAATTTGCTCTGTCATCTAGAGGACTCATACCTTAAGAGATGAGAATTAGTTTGACAGCTTGCCTCTGAAATCATTTGGCAGATTAATGATCTTGGTACACATTGTTGAACTTTTTTTTCTCTGAAGAAATAGCTAGTGCTGATTCCCTATTGAGTTCCATTTTACCTGATTATTATGGGAGAATATTAGTGCTGACTAGATTTTCATGGTCTTGGCACAATTCTTAGCCTTTTCTTCTTACACACTTAGAAAAACAGTATCTAGGGGCTCCTGGGTGGTTCAGTGGTTGAGCATCTGCCTTTGGCTCAGAGCATGATCCTGGAGTCCTGGCATCGAGTCCCACATCAGACTTCCTGCATGGAGCCTGCTTCTCCCTCTGCCTATGTCTCCCCCTCTCTCTCTGTGTCTCTCATGAATAAATAAATAAAATCTTAAAAAAAAAGAAAAAGAAAAAGAAAAATAGTAGGGTAGCCTGGGTGGCTCAACGGTTTAGCACTTTCGGCCCAGGGTGTGATCCTGGAGATCCAGGATCGAGTCCCTTGTCAAGCTCCCTGCATGGAGCCTGCTTCTCCCTCTGCCTGTGTCTCTGCCTCTCTCTCTCTCTCTCTCTCTCTCTCTCTCTGTCTCTCTCAGGAATAAATAAAAATCTTAAAAAAAAAAAGAAAAAAAAAAGAAAAAAACCACATCTACTTATACTTTATACATATGTACCTGACCAAAAATCCAAAATACCCCTATAGAAACTCTCATCTTTTCTAAAATTATTTTTAAATAGCCATACTTTATTTACTTTCTTTTGTAACGATGTTTTCATATATTTTGATTCTTAATTATTCTTCTTTTTATGCTCTTGATAGAGTCTGTCATCTTGGGAAGTTTGAATGTATTCCCTTAAATGCTGCTTAGATTGCTTCGTAAACCTTTTCCATATATTAATATGCTATATGATTAAATGTAGATGTGAATTTAGATCAGAATCCCATTCTGGGAATGTGCTTTGCTCCTTTAAGGTACATTTTGTATACATGGCTTGGAAGTGTTATATATGTAAAGCAAATAATTTAGACAAGTATCACTTTTACAGTTCTCTTACTTTAGTGTTCCTGCACTCCAGTACATCTCTGAAATCAGCGGAGGAGGAGATGTGGCACCAATAGGATGATGTACTGCGCAGGGTCACAGCTGAATATGGAAATCTTCATCAAGTTCCTGGTCTACTTGTGAATTCTTGGTTAAATGAAAAGGCTTTTACTTTTTATTATAAGAAAAAGTATCCTATAATTTGAGGAGAAAAGACATTTTAAAATGGAGAAGGAAGCAGAAGGAGAATGTGTCCCTAGTGTCTTTACCCCACTATCAGCAATATGATAGCCTGATTACTAACCTCTGTCTGTTTCAGAATCCCTCTTATCTGTTTGTGGCTTGAGATTACTGCACCGTCGGCAGAAGCGGATCATTGGTGGGAAAAATTCTTTAAGGTAAAAGGTTCTCCAGAGGAGATTTTCCATATTCTAGAATTATTTATATACACAGAATTACAAATTGGGGTTTTTCTACTATTAGGTAAGGGATTTATTTTACTTATTTAATTTTCTAAATTAAATACAGATTACACTGATAATTTCACATTTTTTGGACCTACATTTACTTTATATAGAGCATGTTCTTAGGTAGCTACCCTCTGATTTATAAAATAGATATGTTGCTGAAAAGTTGTGTGGCAGAAACTAATTTGACAGGAAGTCTGTCAAAAATATATATAACAACAAAATTCATTTAATTTAGAATATATTTGTTTTGGACTTGACTCTTTTTGATATAGTTTTTAAAAATTTTGTTGTATTTACTAACAGAAAACCAGTACTTTACTTATTAAATACTTCTTTAGGTTGTCTAGGTGAGGTAGTGGGGAAAGTATGCTTCAAAGAAAGAAATGTGAAGAAGATTCAACTCGATTCCATGAATGTCAGAGATAGGTGGGATGCATACAGATACCTGTATGCAAATCTTCAGCTTGGCCTGCTCAGAGTTGTAAGGGCACCATTTTCAATGTAGGAAGGGATTTGATATCCTAGGATCCCTTTTATACTACCTCCTGAGTCATTGTTTTAATGGGTACTTTGCTTTTTCTACCTTATATGGACTTAAGTGTCTTACTTTCTTCTTAGGGGTGGTTGGCCTTGGCAAGTGTCCCTCCGGCTTAAGTCCTCCTATGGAGATGGGAGGCTCCTTTGTGGGGCCACGCTCCTGAGTAGCTGCTGGGTCCTTACAGCGGCACACTGCTTCAAGAGGTATGTCCTTTCCAGACAACTCAGCTGTGCTCTTATCACCAGTTCTTCCAATCCAATTCCTACTCTGTAGCATACTAGAAACTTGAGATGACAGAGCCAGGCTACCGGTCTTCCTAATTGATGCCTACAGCACTGTGGAACTGGGGGCGGTAACAGAAGGAGTGAGGAGAACCCTCAGGAAGCTACTTGCTACTGCAGTGTTAAAGCAAACCCTCTATTTTGGGAGCAGAGACCATAGGTTTTGGGAGGAAAGGCAGGTATGTTAGTGCTTCCTTCAAGAACAAATGTGAAGGTGAAATCATAGCCCAGTAGAGCTAGAAGAGACCTCAGATTATCTAGTTATAAATGCCAAGAATAGAGAGTGCAGTTTTTATTGTTCTTGATCCTTTGGGTCTTCATGGTATTATGTGTCTTTGAGATTTCTCTATTTGTACCATCTAGAAAGTCAGGTTGCATCCTGGCTATTTCCTCATGTCCCAAACATTTTATCAATCCAGTCTAAAATCTTCCCAGTTCAGAGGGGAGCCCATGCAGGGAAAATCAGCATGCGGGAGTCACACTGCTCATGGTAGCAGTGCCTGCAGTAGAACCTGGCTCTCCTTTTTTGTCCTGTGCTCTTTTGTGGGCCTGGCTCATTGCCATTTCCTCAGCATGAATTTTGGTATTTTAAAATGTATACCAATCCTCAGCAAAATATTGATAATTAGTGAAGCAAGGTGATAAGTACAGAAGTCTCATTGTTCTAATTTTATGTATTTGAAAATGGTCATAATTAAAAGTCTCATATAAAATGTGTAACATGTCATTGAAAAAGTTGTTTTATATTTTCCCATATGTGATATCATAAGGCTTCACTGTATATTTATAATTTATCCATATAGATTTTGTTCACATTAACCGCCTGTGAATTGTAACTCCTATTAGAAGACCACATCACAGTTTATTTATTCTCCTACTAATGGTTAGGTAGTTTCCATTCTTTCACTATGAGAAAACAGTGCTGAAGTAGATATCCATTCTATGTCTCATTGGGTAGATATATGTGGGAGCATTTTGCTAGAATATGGGTGTAATTCAATTTTGCTTAGCACTATTAATTTACTTTCTAAAGTAATTGTATCTGTACATCTCATGGCAATGTGTAAGCTCCACCTCAACTTGGTATTAACACTTTAAATTTTTGCCAGTCTTAGACTTTTTGGATTTCTTTTTAATTCCATTTCCCTGGTTAGTGTCTATCTCTTTCATGAATTCTTTGTTTATATCCTTTTTTTTTTAAAGATTTTATTTATTTATGCATGAGAGACATAAAGAGAGAGAGAGAGGCAGAGACACAGGTAGAGGGAGAAGCAGGTTCTATGCAGGGAGCCTGATGTGGGCTCGATCCGGGGTCTCCAGGATCATGCCCTGGGCTGAAGGTGGTGCTAAACCGCTGAGCCACCTGGGCTGCCCTATTTATATCCTTTGATTATTTTTCTGTTGGACTGTCATTTGTAATTGATTTAAAAAATTTGTTCTGTGTACATAGTCTTTGTTGTTGTGTGTTACAAATACCTTTTCTCGATCTGGGGCATATCCTGTCACTTAAGATCTTTTTCTAACAAAGATATTTTAATTTTAATATAAACACTTAAACAGTGTGTCGATTTTTTAAGTTTGATAAAAGTTTTTATATTTTATTTAAAAGAATCCTTTGCTAGCTCCACATGATTAAGATACTAGTTTTTCACTAAGAAAATTTACAATTTTGCTTTTCATGTGTAGGTTTTTTTTTTCTTTTTTAAGATTTTATTTATTTATTCATGAGAGATGCAGAGAGAGAGACAGAGACACAGGCAGAAGGAGAAGCAGGCTCCTCTCAGGGAGCCTGATGTGGGACTCGATCCCAGGACCCCAGGATTACGACCTGAGCCAAAGGCAGACACGCTCAACCAGTGAGCCACCCAGGTGCCCTTCATGTATAGGTTTTTAATTTGTTTACAGTTTATTGTTGTATATATGGTATGAGAAAGGAGTCTAACTTAATACTTTCATAGATAGTTTACCAGCACTTTTTATTGAACATTATATTCTTTACCCAGTGATTTATCTTAACTAAGTTGTATGCCAAGTTCTCATATTTTTTTTTCTAGGATCTCTATTCAGTTCCTCATATCTATTTTGATAAATATTTATGACATAATTTTCCATTTGTAAAATGTGCAGGGGACACAGATCTATATTTTGCATAGCCTTTGTCATTTCTGGGATAATAATTGAGTGTGAGTGTTCACCTGTATCCATGGATTTAATACATTCATGTGTTATGTGAACAGCACAGACAATAAAGATCATATTCATTCATTCATTAACTTAACAAAAAAATTAATATTCCCAGGAATATGCTATGTACTAGAGATATAGTGGAGAGTAAGATAGATAAGGATAGTTGCTGTAAGAGTTTTTTTTTTTTTAAGATTTTATTTGTTTATTCATGACAGACAGAGAGAGAGAGAGGCAGAGACAAAGGCAGAGGGAGAAGCAGGCTCCCTGTGGCGACCTGATAGGGGACTCAATCCCAGGACCCTGGGCGATCACACCCTGAGCCAAAGGCAGATGCTCAACCTCTGAGCCACCCAGTTGTCTCTATGAGTTTTTAAAGTAGCTGTAGGAGGGATCCCTGGGTGGCGCAGCGGTTTAGCGCCTGCCTTTGGCCCAGGGCGCGATCCTGGAGACCCGGGATCAAATCCCACGTCAGGCTCCCGGTGCATGGAGCCTGCTTCTCCCTCTGCCTGTGTCTCTGCCTCTCTCTCTCTCTCTCTCTCTCTCTCTGTGACTATCATAAATAAATAAAAATTTAAAAAAAAAAAATTTAAAGTAGCTGTAGGAACCCAGAGGAGGGAGACATTGATATTGCTGATATGCGAGTATCAAAAAAAAGTTTAGGGCACCATTTTTTTAAAAGATTTTATTTATTTATTTGTTTGTTTGTTTGTTTGTTTGTTTATTTATTTTTTAAAGATTTTATTTTTTGAGTGAGAACTTAAATTGACACATCTAAACATATTAAAATTAAAATATCTTTATGAGAAAAAGATCTTAAACAAGTGAAAGATTTTATTTATTTATTTATGTGCATGAGAGGGCTGGGAGGGGGAAAGGGAAGAAAGGGGGACAAGAAGACTAAACTGAGTGCAGAGTCTGAGGTGGGGCTTGATCCCATGACACTGAGATCATAACCTGAGCCAAAATCGAGTCAGACACTTAACCACTTAACTTACTGAGCCACCCAGGCGCCCTAGGGTATCATTTCTTAAGTGTGGTCTTTCTACCACAATATTAGATACATTCAGCTTGTTAAAAATCCAGATTCCTGGGCCTCTACTCCAGATCTACTGAATCTTTGGAGCCGAGCCTCAGGAGTTGGTATTTTTATCAGGCACCTCTGATGATTCTTATGAACCCTAATGGTTAAGACCCACTTGCCTAGTGAGTGAAATAGAATATGATCTGGGGATGTTTGAAGAATGATGATGAGGAAGACTATATTGGAGTTGACTGGATACTTATCCATATCCTATTCAATCTATTAATCACTAAACTGAAAAAAGACACTGATGGTAAATTAATTCTATTTTGGGGTGCCAGAAAATTGAGAGGGACACAGGTTAGAAGATAGGATCCATGATGGCAAAAAATCTTGATAGACTGATTCTAAGAAGCAGTGTGGAATAAGGAGGAAGTAAAATGCTGACTTTAGTTCCAGGAGACTTGGCTTAAGTGTAGCACAAGTGAAAAAGACCTCATGAGTTTTAGAGTCCTGCAGTCTTCATACCAGTCAGTGATGTAATGCAGTTGTCCAAAAGGCCATGAGTCGTAGGCAGCAAGACAGCCGTGATAAGCCTTGCTGTTCTTACTGTCCTCAGAGACAAAGCATTGTTACCATCAGGCAGAGAGAACTGTGCTCAGTTCTGAGTGCCACATCATGAAAAAGTGACATGGGACACCAGGGAAGGCAAACAGACAGAGGAGGTTGTGTAGAATTGGATTAGATTTGTTACCTGTGGCTTCAGACACCATGGATGTTGTTAATGGGAGGAGAGATCATTTTTATTTGAAAATAACAAGTTGTTTATTTTTTATTTCTTTAAAACTAGGACAAATCAGAGATGGAATGGGCTGTATGTGGGAGGAAAAGTAAGTTCTGTTACAAAGTGTGTTCAAGCACAGAGGTTGGACTCATGTATTGGTAGAGGCTGAAGGTGGATAATGTCTATTGTTGAAAGCATAATGTGCAAACACAGGACGTGTATTTGAACAGTGGCAGTTACTAGTTAAGATAGTGATTTGGAGTTTTGGTAGTGGACTTTCAGTAGAGAATCTGGAAAGGCTTGGAATGTCAGGGTAGTGAATTTCTGTTTCAGTTACTAGGTAGTGGGAAACCACTGAAGATTTCTGAGCCTTGAAATGTGATCGAGGAAGAGTTTTAGGAGATGAGTCATTTGCAGATATAACAGGATAAATCTGAGGAGGTAAAGCCAAGTTATTAATCTAGGGGTCTATGAATGAGCTTTGAATTACATGAAAAATCTTTGCGTGCATGCTTTGGAGTGACTCAGTTGGTCTGTGTTACCCAATGATTTAAGACTCACAATGGTAGGAACTAGGGGATACTGGTTACAAGGCTATTATAATAGAGACAGAAAATGGAAAAGAAAAGGAGGGAGAGAAGGTAGAACTGCTGTGACAGATATCACTAGAACTTGGTACTGTGTGACAAGAAACTTGGATCTGGCCATTGAGACCAAGGTCACACAGTCTCCTCTGATTTTGACTGTTTAATTTTGTGGAAATTATTTAGCTTGTTGGAGCCTCCATTTTCTGACCCATAAGATGAAGGCAGTAACATTCCACCATGAGGAGCAAATGATCCGCTAAGCATGTGAAAGTATTTTATAAATTGCAAAATTCAAAACAAATGTTGGCTGCTATTATGTTCAGGTTCAAAAAAGGGGAATCAA